ATAATAAAAAGTACAACACGGACAGTCTTGGCATGCAAGTGGAGACTATATGTTTTGTACTCTTAATTTTTCATACTCTGTTTATTTTGCCATTTCCCAGGTGTGCAAATACTGGAAAAGTAACAATTAACTTTGTGTTCTTCTTTCAGTGCTATCTTCTGTCTCATCTTCACTTTGTCCTCATCTCAGCACACTTTTCTGAACCGTGAAGTGTGCTCCATATATGTAACAATGCCTACTTTCTAGGTGTACGTACCCCAGCCATGCGGCCAGGCAAAAAAGGGTCGCCTGAAAGCAAACAAGGCCAAGCAGCTGCTGAAGGCTCTTAAGGCAAAGCAGCAGACTATGACCGAAAACGTGCAAGCACACGTTAGAATTGCTGACTGATGTTCCCATTGTAACTATAGTTTTGAAAACATTTCAGCTTTTAACCAAAATATGGACAGAAACATTGCTGAGCAAATTCAAATGTTGACACGAAAAGGAATCAAATGTGTATCGGATGTGAAAAAGTGGCTGTACTATTACGTGCACGATGTACTTTTTGCAAACAAGGAAAAGCCTGATAGCAGCTGCAGGGCCTTTTCCTCAATACATCGTGATATAAGCAACCAGATCCAAGCTGTTCTGTGGAAAGACCGCTTTAGCACAGTGGATCAAGAAAATGCTAGCATCCTTATTGGAAAGATCAGGGCTGAGCAACCCGAATTTTTTATTGTCCATCAGCTGGATGCATTAGCAGCTTTATGGGAAGCAGTGACTAGAACAACGTGGAAGAGAGCGTTGCCGAGTGTGAAGACACGTTCCTGTTCTGCTTACAGACAAAATTCATGAGAAGCATGCTTAAAAAATATGGAGGCTCTGTCGTTTGCCTATATGCAACGCGAAAACTAGCAACTACGCCCTACCACTTTTCATCCTCGTTGTGAAAACACCGTCGGGATACACCCCAGCTGGTGTGTTTATCATACAGTTCGAGACGACCCACTGTATCGCTGAGGCTTTAAGAGTTTTCAGGCAGTGGTGTGATAACTGGCCCACCTAGTACTGGATGGTAGACTACAGCAAGGCAGAAATAAGTGCCATCAAGCAAGTGTTCCCAGAGAGTCAAATCTCCATCTGTGACTTCCGTTGACTACAAGCATGAGAAAGGTGGCTGTGCAGAAAGGAAAATGGCATATCCGATCCAGATAAAGCTTTGGGACTCATGAAATGTTTAGCCAATGCATCAAATCACGATGAGTTTGACAAGGCATTACAAGTCTTTGTCGCCTCAGAGCATTGGAAAAATGAAAAATTCCTGCACAGAAACTTCACATGCTTGCTCGCAAGTGTACCATGTCGGAATGTAACGAGTCACATTTCACTCATGCACAATTATGTACCTTAAACCCAACTCTCAGTCTTCAAATTCCTTTAGAACTTCGCCGATGAGACGCTACTATGCTGTGCAGATTATGGTTGGGTGTCCCATTTACCGATGCGTACGCGTTCCCCATTGGAATGGCTGACACTGCTGCATGGGACCATTGCGGCAGTGACGAAACAACTTGGCACATTCTCTGTGAATGCCCATAACACTGCTCACATTGCAATGCACTAGACGAACTGGACAACCAGGCTCTTTCGGAAGAATCCTGCGCTACAGACAGGACTTTATGTCGCAGAAGAAGGCTGTGAAGGCGCTCCTGCACTTCTTGCGTTCAACCGGCTTGTCCAAACGACTGTGATCGGAATGCCCTGCATGTGTGTGCATGTGAATTTTTTTCTAATTTATTTTATATCTCTCTATCTACATCCTCTTTTCGACCCTGATTTCCCCACCCCTGTACAGGATAGCAAACCAGTTCTTCTAGGTTAACCTTCCTGTCTCTTCCTTTTATTTATTTCTCTCTCTCCACAGTTACTTTGAAGTGTGGCTTTTTGCAAGAGCTGTGGGTCATGTTTTACAGGCTGGATATTGATGTTTTGACCACAAATAACAGGGTGTTGAAAGCACAGTATTTGAAAAGTGTCACTGGGAAACAGTCATTAAAATTCCTAATCACAGCTATTATTAATAGCTACCTTCCTGACAAGGAAGTAAAATTCTATCAGACAGCACGAAGGCAGTCATCAGTATACAGAAAATATAGTGAAAACGTTCCCGATTACCTGCACAACCGGCCTCACGGGATTGTTGATTGATATGTGGGGTTTAACGTCCCGAAACCACCATATGATTATGAGAGACGCCGTAGTGGAGGGCTCCGTAAATTTCGACCACCTGGGGTTCTCTAACGTGCGCCCAAATCTGAGCACACGGGCCTACAACATTTCCGCCTCCATCGGAAATGCAGCCACCGAAACTCTCACGGGATTGTTAAACATGTATTAAGACGGCTTGCTAATGCAGAGGAATACACGCATACAGACATGAAAGAGCTGTCCACTGAAGGCACGTTCTCTGCTTGTTCTGAAAGAAGTGATGACGATGTGTACACAGTCGACTTCACAAAGCCATCATGTACCTGCCCTGACTTTAGGAGGCACAAGTATCCCTGCAAACGCTTTTGTGTTGTTTTTAAGTAAAATGACAGATGGGGATTTTCCTCTGTTCCGCTTAGTTACCTCAATCGACCACAGATTACACTTGGAAGCTGTCCAGAAGCAGGAACAGGTATAACCGGTATAACAAGGAACAGGTATAACAAGTATAACCGAGGAATGGTAAATGTGTAATTCCTTCCTCTACTGCTGCTGATATTCAAGCCTTGCCAGAGGCTAAAGGCTTATTGCAAGCCACTTTCCGTAGGTTGGCTGAATCTGTTCCACAAACTTCAGGCCTTCACATTCGGGGCTCACTGTCGAAGTGATGCTCGTCTCTGGAGCCTCTTCCAAAGAGAAAGCGCCTATAGTATGCCGTCACTCTGCTATTGATTGGTTGACTTTTCACAGGAGCTTTAGCTCGGACTGCTAGGAAAAGATCAAGGGGAAACTTTCAAGAGATGGTGACTTGGTGATCTTTTACATTATTAAAAAAATTGCAAACTTGAAAACTCAATTTTTTGTATAGTTCTTAGAATGTTTAGAAATTTTACAGGCTTTTATATGCTACATTTAGTGAAGTGCTGCTACAATTGCTCCAAACGAGAAATGCTGCTTCATGCTGCTTTAAAGTATAATTTTTCTTCGTAACTGCCCTAAACCTGCTTCAAAGTAGCGTAGGCAAATCGAAAACAGTGAACTCTAACCATGTGATCATACATCGAGTATATAAAAAAAAAAAAAAAAACTGGATACTATCATTTGGTATGTGGCCTGTATACGTGCTGTATACTAGCATAATGACAATTTACATATAGTACTGGCATTGTTTATATATGTGATATAGCTTCATATATGTACCTGACAAGCTATTTTGATAAAATATGAGTGAGATTCTTTCGATACCATACTATTTACTAATTACTACTGTGACGACTTTGGTGTCAGACTGATTACATTTAGCGCTTATCAGCTTTGACCGCATTCATGCTACAAAAACTGGAATTTCAAGTATAGCTCATTTAGCTGATTTTTGTTGAATTTTTTAATGTTGGCTATTTTGACAAAATATGAAAACATATTGAATATGTGCCAATTATAAACTGCTGCTTTGGCAATAGTTACATGGGATTGTAACTACTTTTGTAATATGCTGAGCTTAATTGGTTTTACATCATGTCTGCCATGAGTTATGGTATTTTAGATATATGCTGCTCATATTTGTGCTGAATTTCTATCCATCTGTTTATTTCTCATAATTTGAAATAGTTATTGCAGATGTGATATGCTTATTAATAGATATTATTATATTGCTTTGTCTAAATGATGCTTTAATTTCCAGAAGTTTGGAATGTTTTGCCATTTTCTCCGAAAAGCATCATTTTTATGCTCCAAAATTAAGCTAACTTTTATCATCGTATGTTTTAACTAGCCCTCATTATGGTCACGCATTTCCAACATTGAAAACAGCTACGTGTGTAGAGATACTACCTTGATGTATCATGTTGGTTGCATTTTAAATTCATAGATTGTATAAAAACATGTTTTAGGGTATGTGTATAAACTGTATGGAAAGTTGCATCCTTTTTGTACTTTTATGAAAGTGCTTGCCTTTATACTTTCGTTTTAGGATTTCAATATAGCAGCTCTTGAAAAGATGCTATTACATTTTTTGCCTGGTGGTTACCCTATGATGTATTTAGTAGTGTGCTTGTATACTGCATTTTCAATTCATAACTTATATAAAAACATAGTTTTAGGGTTTTTCAGGGTATGTGTTCAAGACTATATGGAAAGCTGCATCCTTCCAGTTCTTTTATGAAATTCTTGCTTTTGTACTTTCTTTTTAGAATTCTAATATAGCAGCTTTTGAAAAGATGTTGTTACATTTTTGTAAGGTGATTACTTCAATATGGATTTAGTAGTGTGCTTGTAATATGCATTGATTAAAAATAAACCACATTTGAGAGAATGTGGAGTGTGCACTAGGAGCTTATTTTGAAAATGTGAAGTATGGTTACCTACACAGAATAACAATTTTTTCAAGACAACTTCAATAGCTGCGACTGGTATTAGAGGCTGAGCAAACTGGCAGTTCTTGAAAACAGTTACAAGAACTACCCTTTTTAGTAAAATGCTTTAGGTATACATACCAATACTATTGACTTGGAGGAGTTTTTTAATTATTCAGACTGAAAGCCTTTTCTTTTTCAATGGCACCATGTGGGTATTGGTATATAAAATGAAGTTATATAAAGAACATGAATGCACAAGAAAATGGGCAATTGTCTCAACATACCATCCATTAGTTAACATTCTCAAATTAAGCTCACTAACATGTACTTCAGTATCGGGGAATGGCAATGCTGAGCTGCCTAGTTTTTGCCCGTCGTGTAATCGAAATATCCAATATATGGTGGTATCAGTCTTGAGTATGCTGCACACTACATAGCCGTTCCACAGTAAAAGCAATAGTCGTGTGAACCCTATTCTTTATGCCTTGTAGGTAGGTTCACTTTTTTTTTCTTGTGTTCATCCTTCGGCCAGTCAATGGTACTTGTTGACTATTGTATTCTCGTATGTCTCCTTCCGCCACTCAGTGGCACTTTAGTCCTGTAAATGAAATGAAAAATATTTAGTTCTGCTCCTTTTACATACATTCTAAAAAACACACAGGTCAACTACAACACAATACAGCTTTGGCAAGTATAAAAAAAGAAGTCACATACTCCCATACACAAATTTGAATTGTAGGGGTGATATCGTACGATAATGCATCATTTGCAAGCGCATAACCACATGACATACCGGATCCTTCTTTATTTGGGGGGATTCTCCTTATAGTGTTCCGTTAAAAATATGCAGACTTTGACGGTTTCCTTGACAACTCGAAAAGGCACATTGTCCAGAAAGATTCTACACCAGGAATGAATCATGGAAAAGGCACATTGGCTGGAAAAAAAAAATAATAATAAATAAATACGATTTAGTGGCTGTGCCTGGTTTCATGCATGGCAGAAAGCAATGCTAAATCTAGTTTTTGTGTAATGGCAGCAAACAAAGAAGCATAAAAATGCACTGCCTCCTGGCTCTCCTCAAGAAAAATAATTATGATTATATTTACAAATCATGCAGACTTTTTTGTGTTGTTTTAAGACAGACCATCTTGAAAGCAGCACCAACATGCCACAGTTTGGTTGAGCCTTGCAACTTTATAATGACATGACAAAAAGCTTGCTGGTGACACGTATCAGCATCTCATATACAGAGTTCAATATCAGGCTATGCTTCGCTCTCGATGCCTAATTCACACTTCTAGCAGGACGACGGATGGCACACACGGCCATGGCCGGACATGGAGTTAATTGAGCCAAACTGCACATAGTGTCTCGTGTTGCGCACGATTGCTTTTTTGATGTGCAAAGAAAAAAATTTACAGGTGCATACAAAACAAACGACCACATGCGGCTATTCGTACAATTCAAAGCATTTATGTAAACATCACAAGGGTAGACTTATTAGTTTTGTTAAGTGTTAATTAGCTTGTATCCGCGTATCTTTTGACTGAAACGAGAAATAACAGGCAAGTTCCAATTACATTTATCATAACTTTTGCACCTGGGGTCATGGCCCGGTAACACGAGCAACGCTCCACTCGAACCGAAATAAATAGAGAGAGAGAGAGATAAAGATGCAAGGAAAGGCAGGGAGGTTAACCAGACGCACATCCGGTTTGCTACCCTGCACTGGGGAAGGGATAAAGGGGAGAAAAGAGGTTGCAGAAAGATGAGAAGGTACACACAATCACGAGCACACTCGGGGAGCACACACAGTCTACAGGCGGTCGCTCAGGTTTGTAGACTTGAGGTAAAGTAGCAGTGCTTTAGTTGCTTTCTGCGCAACTGAGGCAGATGCCCAAGGTCCTAGTATCTTCTGCACACAAAATGGTCCGGGGTCAAGTCGATTCAAAACCATCCGGAGCTGGCATCGCTGTGTGTCGTAGCAAGCGCAGCTGCACAGGACGTGTTCGATGGTCTCTTCAGCTCCGCGGTAGTCGCATGTAGGAGTGTCTGCCATACCAATGCGAAAGGAGTACACCTTTGTAAATGCAACACCCAACCAAAGGCGGCATAACACTGTCGCATCGGAGCGGGAAAGTTGTGATGGTAGCTTTAGCTTGAGCGAAGGATCCAGTTCATAAAATTGACACCTTTAGAAGCTGGTAGACGACCAGACCACACGAACCGAAATAAATAGGTGCAAAGAAAACTCTGAACCGGTAACCAGAACAATGATAACTCGATCTTCCAAAACTCTAACTAATTTCTCTAATGTTGCGTTAACCCTAACTAAAACTTGTTCTGCTGGGTTGAAATTACTACTGCGCTGTTGAATGCTAAACCAAAGCGCATAGCGATAAATTAAGAAGCAATCGATATATGCTTACATTAGGACGACTTGGTCAGATCTCTTGAGGTCCGAACAGCATACCTCTCATTGATGGCAGCCAGTGACCTCTCAAAAAGCTTCAGCTCATCGTCCGACTTCAGGTAGCTGTGGGAGTAGGCGTCTTCTTGATTATGTAAGTCTTGGAGGTAATTTTAAATCACACTCTGTCGGTTAGAAGGCTCGTGCATCGTCGCATTCTGCATCTCCGGCCGCAAGCGAATGAGATAACCCACGCTGCACGCTCACCGAGCATAAAAAGTGGTGGTAGTAGTGATCATGTCGCTTATTTCAGCACAAATGTTCCCGGCGCACGCCGCGTACGAACCAAACGAAGTGTGGCAGCTTGACCTATTTGGTATGACATGACGACAGTTGTAGCGCGAGAACAGAACGACGACAAAGAGACAAGAAAGACACGAAGGAACCAAACGAGTAGATTTCGTGCCGACCGGTTGTGCCCTCGCGATCTCCGACGACAGCGCAGCTCTGGCTGACTGGGCTCGCGCTACGCCATCTCCTCACGCCGATCTCCGACGACAGTGCTGCTCTGGCCGACTGGACTCTCTCTACGCTATCTCCTGACGCCGACTAAGCTCTCGTCGAGTGGTGCCCCCTCCTCGGACTCCTGCGACCGTGTCCATCTTTCCTATCTTCTCTTTACTTCCGTCGCTCGCTGTTCCTGCGCCTCGCTCTCTCATTCTCTTTATTTACCTTTTAATCCTATCATTTTAATTCCTCCTTACCCCAATCCCTTGTGAGCTACTGTTGAGGTGTCGCACTCTAAAGCAGACAGTTACGGTCACGGAGGAAGGAAAAAGGTGGTTACGGGGCTCACTTTTTTTTTCTTTTGCTTTTAAGAACCACCAACGCCTTTTAGATTTCTTGTGCCTGCCGGATGAGCGCGAAACGCCGGTCATCTAATGCGGCGCTGCCTACGTAGGGGGTAAAGGTCTTTGTACTTGGCCTTTGAGATAAGCAATTTTGGCGTTTGCTACTAATTTTAGAGGATGTCTTGTATTTAAAAAGTTGCTTGCTGAATGACGGCGTCACTTACGTAGGGTTAAATATAACTACGTTTACGCCGTTTTAAAACTTTTTTTGTTATTTTTGTTGCGTATAAGCTCCAAAAACGTGAGAACCTATTTGAAGACACTTCTACTTGAATGGCATCACCACTATAGTTGCGACGACCGCCGCTTACCAAGTAACCGCCGATAATCTGGCAGGCACGGGAAATCTAGGAGGCGTTGGAACCACATAAGATAAAGAGAAAAACAAAAAGAAAAATAGTGACCATCACGCTGCCAGCACGCTCGCTGCGAAACTGACGTTGGTGCTTACGTCAATTTGTTGAGAAAACAGTCTTGCACAGAGTATTCAGCAGAGATTAACTGAAATTGACATGTGACGATTGGGAGTCATGGAAAAAGTGTTGGGTGCCTGTATTGTGCATGATTGCATAGACTGTAGCCAGCTCCAACTCTGTCCAGTCGTATCAGATTTTCTCGTCATCCAGCAAGTGTCTTAAAACCTATTTCTTTGTCTCTGACAACTTCCGTGGAAGTGTCAATTTCAACTGGTGCATGAAGGTCTTACGTACAATGTGAGGCTTATTAGTTCAAACAAATGACTAATTTGGTCTAAGACTGTGTGCTTTTGCTAGAAATTGTGCTGTAATCACTGCTCAAGTATGCAATTTCATAATAAGCGACAATCGTATCACGTAGCTGTTCTTCATTAATGGGCCCATATTCTTTCTGTCTGTGTTATAACTAAACACAAAGAAAAAAGCGCGTGAGGCGATACTCGCTAGTTTAAGTGGATGCGCACACCTTAGCTGGTTTTGCTGAGGAGCACCGTGAGATGGCCAGAGAGAACCACGTCGAGCGCCCGCAATCTCGGAGGCAGGAGAACTTGAGAGTTTCAGAGCCTGACCCAACCAACAACAGAAAAATACATCTGTGTATTGATGATGATAGTACTGGCAGTGCCATCTCGCCTCGTAGTATTGCAGTTCAGCACGCCGCCGCTACCTTATTTTGATACAAGCCAAAGGTGCAGTTTCCGTTTTCTAATATGATGTAGGCGTTCTCTGCTAGCTGCGTTTGCGCGCTAGCAACTCAGTTATCGGAGTACCTCGGCGTAGTGGTCTATTATTACCGCCGAGGTGTTTGAGTACCCAGTGAACGTAATCCTCTGCCGCGTGTGACAAACGTAACATTTGATTCAGATGCGGTCGAAGTGGCGGACATGAAATGCAAATGTACCTCTGGTGGATCTCGACGGACGCGCCGAGATCCTGGTTAGCGGAGTACCAGCTGCGACGGAAGGCCCCGATCGGTGATGGATTATTAAACAACCACCGGAGGAAGCTTCGGCCGCGCTTTCCTGAAAGAAGGGTCGCTGATCGGCCTCTTGCAGGTAAGTTTCGAAGCCTACCGACGCCCCCGACCGTTTTCATGCACATAGCGTGGGGCGCCGTGCTGCTGGGTGGCACGGAGCGAGTGCTATCAAGTGATGCCCAAGATACGCGCAGCTGTTCCCGAGTGTCGTGCAGGAAAAGCCGCCGCTCGCAGATGTCTTTGGCTCGCTCGTGTGCTGCATTCTATAAAGTTGTTCCTTATTTGCTGGAGGGAATTCACTCTCCCGTGGCGACAACAAGGACGTCCACAAAGCACCCATGACTGGATATAGGATATCCACTTCATTTCTGAAACAACACTGGCGGACATCCCTCGCAGGTTGATTTGGCCGCACTCTCCTGAACTCAGGGTTATCCCTTCCAAGTCTCAAACACGTCTCGTAGGACACACTGTGTACATAACAGAGAAATTAAGGGTTGTCTTTTATTCAGGGTGTTTTCTAAAAGTAGTCTTTTACAGTGAATTAATTTTTTTGTTACTCTCTCAAGTTGAAATTTCGGAAGTTCAAATCATGAATAAGTTTTCCTGTGCTTTCAGGTGCTAATTTAATTGGTTCTTTTGGACACCCACTAAAATTGCTGGAATTAGACTAATGCACACACAATTTCTTTACCAAAGTGCATTTTTGATAAAAACTAATCATATTAGCACCTGAAAGCATAGGAAAACTTACGCATGATTTGAACTTCTGAAATCGCAAAACTTTATAAAAGTGAAATTTGACAGATGGCAACATATTATGCTAAATGTGTGCTTGTGCTAGAGAAACACTGAGCCAAGCGTATTGCATACACATATTTTTAGTTAAGAACAAAGCACGAAACACATACATTATGCACTGTGACTAGATGTTGCTTGCATACATAAGCATGTTTAAGTTTACATATAAACCAGAATTGAATATTGAAGAAATATGAATAGACAAGCATGACAGATACTACAAACGAGAGAAAAAGCAGCTGTGATATAACAAAACAGCACATGACACTGTTCGGGATAAACAGCATGAAAAACGAAGACAGAAAAATAGGAAGATGCAAGACGAGCGCTCTTCCTTGCCCAGTTTTCATCACCACTCAGTACATGACACACCCATTAGATACATGAGTATCAGGGGATTATCATATTGAGTAGGGTCGTGCCCAACCATGTCTTCAACTGACGCCCTGACGTCTTCATGTTGCCTAGGAGGTGACCTGTCAAATTAGGAGGTTTCCTTTAAGCAAATGCAAAGAAAGCAAAGACCTCTATAAAATGCTATTTTTGCACTACATGCATCTCATTCACAGGAAAACGCTCAGAGAAAGTAAAAATTAATAAAAGTAACTGAGAAAAACAAAATCCAAGCTTGCTGTCAATCGTACACATTGAGAAGGTGAAGTTGTTTACACAACAACTTATTCCCACAAGGTGCACTGGCTCAGACAGCCAAGGTGTTCTGGCACTAAGCATCAGAAGGTGGGATTAAGACAGAGCTGATAAAGCCACATTTTGATGCAGGTGCAACAAGTACTACAATATTATTATTCATACACCATGACATGATAATGAGGTGGCCATAGTGGAGGGCTCTGCCATTTTTTACCGTTTGGTGCACAGATATCGCACATGCGCCTTTAGTGTTTTACCTCCACCTGAGTGGGACTGCCACTGCGAGGATCGCACTTAGGACCTTCAGGCCAGCACACAAGTGCTGTAACCGCTACGCCATCGCAGCAAACACCCATAGTAGCATTGTGCTCACGTGCTTTTTGTTGTAAAGCATATCATACAACCCCAGGGGGTAAAAATTGGTATGAATCCCTCCACTATGGCGCATAATTCTTTATCGTTTTGGAAAGTGAAACTCCAAAATATAATATTCAAAATTACGTTCTTTGACAAAAGGTGAAGAGCAGTAAGCAATGGGCTCTGGACAGTGGGAGCTGGCAGCAGCAACTTCTGCACTACGTTAAAGAAGCCTACTAAGAATGGCACAAAAGCAGAATATTTGCACTATTAATAAAAGAAATACAATGAGGACCCTTCTGTGTTAGTGGTAGTAGACGTAGTTGGCCACATAAAGCACGTTTTGCTCACTCAGATGTGGTCACCATAGAAACACATTATCAATAATATAAATCTGTAAAACAAGAGATCTGGTTTTGTGCAACTGTAAAAGGAAACCAATTAACACACAAAAACATTTAACAATGTCATAGGCAATCGCAAAGGGCTAGAACACATTGTTGTGGACAGAGCAGAAAGAAAACACAACACTAGAATCCTGTCATGCCGCAAAGGTGAGAGATAGAATAATTTGCACCACTTATTTTTCTTTGCATATATATATATATATATATATATATATATATATATATATATATATATATATATATATATATATATATATATATATATATATATATATATATATATATATATATATATATATATATATATATATATAAATATCAAAGTAGATGCGCTTTCACATAACAACTGTTTATTGTGCCGACGTTTCGACAGGAACCCTGTCTTTTTCAAGGCATAATGCCTTGAAAAAGACAGGGTTCCTGTCGAAACGTCGGCACAATAAACAGTTGTTATGTGAAAGCGCATCTACTTTCATATTTATAACCTTGCGGCAACCGAAGTTATTCTTCTGCATATAAGCCTTATATATATATATATATATATATATAGAGAGAGAGAGAGAGAGAGTGAGTGAATACATGATCTGCAAATGATGTTTCTCATAAATCATATTGTGCTTGAAAATTTCTACTGTACTTTCTCTCGATTATAAAAGCAGTGCAAGAAGAACAGATGAACAATGGCCATTTGTCTCCACAACCAGCTTGTCCAACTTAGTAACGTCATGAGCTTTCCCTGCAACTGAAATGTCAAAACTACTGTGTTGAAAAGCACTCTTGTTTTTATACCTGATTGCAGCCCACATAAGCCACCATAATTGGATCTCAACATTCAGGTGTTGAGCAGCTAAATATGCTGTCCAAATATGCCAGCAACAATGCAATGGGTGACAGAGAGATTTCTTTAAAGAAATAAAGTAGTGCAGAAAGAATCATACCATGCAGGATGTGGCAGCATGCTGTCTTCTGAAGTGCAATTTTCCTTTGGCACCTAGCCCAATGTAATTTATAACCACCTTATCTGAAAGCACATCTCTTTTCATTCTCTTGACCGTGTCTGGCAAGCTAACCTCACCAATTTTTTTCCAGCGCGTTTTCTGTAAAAGCAACAAAACACAATACTTGCTAGAGAGACGACATGCTAGTGCATGAATTGATCCAGCCAGAAAATTACACTAATGCATTTCAGAGCTAAAAATATTAAAAAATTGAGATCCGCACGCCTGTTTGTCATTATGGGATTGTGTCCTGAAAGTCGCAGCAGTTTGAGACTTGTGAAACTTTATCCACTACTTGACAGAAAAGTCCTCTCCCTCAGCTTCTCTAAACTGGCAAAAAGTGATATCAAGTTTTCTTACTTTTTTTTAACTCTTCTCCACAGCTTTCTCAGCGCCAGTCGCAAAAAACATAGTGTAAAACCTTGTTAATTTGACTGTCACGGTACCGGCGAAATTATCTGAATTAAACGAATGCTAAATTACCCCAAGTACCAAGAACACAACAAACAACTCTATTACAGATTTCTTTTTTTATTTCCACGATGAACACGTAAATCCAAGGCCTACTTTGCATAAGAGCAGTGTAAAAGCTGCCACTTTCGTCATTCAAATTCACGTGAGTGCGGCTGAAGACCGCTGTGTACAGCCAAAACGTGATCTAACCACCACCACAACCAGCTCATGAAACACTTTTTCGCCGTGATGATAGCTGCACACTGATTAATTATCCAGATGAATAAATTTCCTACAACAGCAGAGAACACCTATTTGTTGAGAACAGCCTTCAGAGAGCGACGATATCGCGAGGCTGTGACACTTTCTCTAACATGGCACCGAAACGAACATGCCCACTAAACACCTGCAGTTATACCATTTTGGCGCATTGTAAACACTGTTCCACAAGTTCGAAGACGATGAACTTACATCTGTATCCGCTGTCAGACCTTTCAGAGTTCTTAACGTCCATAGTATCGCTGTACTGAAGCTGAACCATGGAACTGAGGCCATAGAGTTTCAAGTTCTCACTCGCACGACTCGCGTGCACACAGCTGCTTAGGATAAAGAAGGCGAAACGACACAATTACGGCAAGGTATTTTGTTAAAATTTCTTAAGTATGAAGTTCATATGTTTTATCTAACAAGAGTCTCATGAGTTAATTACTGAAGGCAAGTAACACATTTTTTCATTGTTTCAGGTTTTGAGAAACATGATATGGCGTGGTGTTTAAACAAAGTTGATCGGAATTTCTGTCATTCACTAACGCGCACAGCTTTCCCGTTTTGAAGACGTGAAATTCCAATTAATTGCGTAATCCGTATGCGGAAATTATACCTCGTCGTTATTGTGTACTCACTTTTACGATATTCATATTTTCCTCAATTTTTTTACCTCACTCGATGATCATATATGAGCGAAGCAAAATGTAGCTAGTTTCTTTTTGTGGGTGATGGGTGCCAAGCCGCCGTCAGAATTACCAAATCAGGTTGAGAACGCAAAATGTGTACCGTACTACATTTTTTTACGGACGTGTGAGACAGGATATTTATTATTATTTATTATTTATTTCGACATACTGCCAATCCCATCAGGGATTTTAGCAGGAAGGGCGTGAACATAAAAATTCGAATAGGTACACAATAAAGACATACATCGCGATAAAGTACAGAATGAAACTAACAGAATCGGATCATTTAACAATTTCAGATCAAAGAAGGCATAAAACATTAGTGTAAAGAAAAGTTGTCAGAAGAAAATAAATGCAGCGACTTGGTTGACACATTGGTTGACATATTGGCATTTGCATCAAGAAACACAACAAGAAATTACAGCAATAAGAAACTACCCTACAATATGGCGAAGTATT